TGGGATGAGACAATGAGACAGTGAGACAGTGAGACAGTGAGACAGTGAGACAATGAGACAGGACAGGAAAACATAAAGTGGTTTCATCGAAACCAGCTCAGCTACCGAAGGGCGATCACTGGAGAAGGGTCGTGAAGCCTGCCTGCACAAAATCAATGTGCACGTATTGTAATATAATAAGATAAGATGATCTATTGATCGCACAGAGAGAGATTGGCTGCGACATGGTGAAAACATATATGCACACTCACTCGTCAACACACACACACACACACTCACACACACACACACACACACACACACACACACACACACACACACACACACACACACACACACACACACACAATCTCTCTGTCTCTCTCTCTCTCTATCTATCTATCTATCTATCTATCTATTCATCTTTCTCTCTGTGTCTCTCTGTCTCTCTCTCTCTCTGTCTCTCACACACACACACTTACACACACACAAACAAATAAACAAACAGTTCAGGGAACTAAAAGTAACTAAACAAGAACGACACTTCACATTTTCAAATGCTCTCTTCCCCTGACGTTGGCCATGGACGGGCGTGGAGGTGGGATGAGACAATGAGACAGTGAGAAAATTAGACAATGAGACAGTGAGACAGTGAGACAGGACATGAGACAATGAGACAGTGAGACAATGAGACATTGAGACAGTGAGACAGTGAGACAATGAGACAGTGAGACAGTGAGACAATGAGACAGTGAGACAATGAGACAGTGAAACAATGAGAAAGTGAGACAATGAGACAGTGAGACAGTGAGACAGCGAGACAGTGATACAGTGAGACAGTACAGTGAGACAGTGAGACAATGAGACATTGAGACAATGAGACAATGAGACATGACAGTGGCACAATGATACAGTGAGGAAGAGAGCCAGTGACACAGTGAGACAATGAGATAGGAGACAGTGATACAGTGGGACAGTAAGACAGCGAGACAGTGAGACAATGATACAGTGAGGAAGAGAGCCAGTGACACAGTGAGACAATGAGATAGGAGACAGTGAGACAGTGAGACAGAGAGACAGGACAGTGAGACAGTGAGACAGTGAAACAATAAGACAAGGCTGTGGGACAGAGAGACAGTGAGACAATGAGACAGTGAGACAATGAGACAGTGAGACTGTGAGAAAGAGAGACAGTGAGACAGTGAGTCATTGAGACAATGAGACAATGAGACAGTGAGACAGAGATTCAGTTGGACAGGACAGTGAGACAGAGAGAAAGAGAGACAATGAGACAATGAGACAATGAGACAGAGAGCCAGTGAGACAGGACAGTAAGACAGTGAGACAATGATACAGAGAGACAGGACAGTGAGACAGTGATTCAGTTGGACAGGACAGTGAGATAGAGAGAAAGTGAGACAGTGAGACAATAAGACAGTAAGACAGAGAGACAGTGAGACAGAGAGAGAGGCTCAGAGTTGACAGAAGGCAAACCGCAGTAAAAGATTAGATTCTACGCCACACGCACATCAACCTGCAGTTCTGACGACCACACGGGCCATCAGATCCTCCTGGTCAAAAATTCACACACAAATCTCAGAGGATTTTATCTGCCAAAATCAACGGAGACTGTCCATAAACCGTGGTTGGGAACTCAACAATACACGACCAAAGAGAGAGAGAGAAAAAAAAAAGAAATGAAAGAATAAATAAATAAAATTTCCGCTTTTCAACTGTAAGGCAGGTCTTTATAGAACACCCCCCCCCCCCCCCCCCCCCCGCTAACTCACTCACCCTCACTCACTCACTCTCTCTCTCTCTCTCTCTCTCTCTCTCTCTCTCTCTCTCTCTCTCTCTATCTATCTATCTCTCTCTCTCTCTCTCCCCCCTCTCTCTCTCCCTCTCCCTCTCTCTCTCCCCCTCTCCCACCCTCTCTCTCCCACTCTCCCCCCTCTCCATCCCTCTCTCCCTCCCTCTCTCACTCTCTCCCTCCCTCTCTCACTCTCTCCCTCCCTCCTTCTCTCTCTCTCTCACCCCCCCCCCCTCTCACTCTCACATTCACGTCTTATCTAAATGCGGAATGATGGTGGGGTCGAAAAGAGGAGGAGGGCGGGAAGGAAGGGGGTAACGTGGGTCTATGGTATCATCTATTCTATGTTAATGTTATATCACTTGAAAGTGTGTGCTGGTGCCTTAAATTTCTTTCTATTTCATGCGCATACAGTACGTGGAACCTGCTCTAACGGCCATCCGTATAAGACACTCACCTCTCACCTCTACAACCAGCCATGACTTCCCATTTCTTCCCTTGTTTTTTCTTCTTCTTTTTTTCTTACACTGTGGCACTGTGTAAGACGGTCGTTTTCCTCATCAACAATGTGTGGCCGTCTTAGACGATTTCAACGATATTTTCTTTATGAGGGATGGGGGGGGGGGGATATTTTTCGGTATGGCTAGCAGGTGATCCCTATGTTAACATTAGGTAGCTTGTTTAATTTTTCTTTTTAAAAAATCAACACTACGCATTACAAAGAACATTGCTTTAATAATTATTTTATTAACAAATACTAATAATACTAGTACTATTTATAAAATCCTTTCTATCATTATAACAACTATTATTTATTGCTATCATTATTATTGGCAGGGATGCCTTTCCAACAATTAAAGCTACTAAATAAGAAGTTCAATAAAGTTTTCTTAAAAAGGGTAACCCCACCCCCTTTTTTCTTACAAATTGTGAAATCTTTTGAATCATTGAGATCCAATAAAAACTACCTCCAAAATTATGATCCCAAACAAATAACACTACACGCACAACAATAAAATATCTTTGGGCATGAAAATGAAGTTAAATTTATTTTCAAAGATTGCAAATATGTCAGTTAGAGCATTACTCCTTAAATTTATGGTCCAGGCTAATACCTGGTATGCTTTACTAGGAATTCCCAAGCATGTGAAAACTTAAATCATGCAACACATTTTTGAAAAAGAAAACCAAGAGCACACCCTTCTGGAGACCAAGTATCAGCTGTTACTCGTTTTGATGCCATCATTCTGTTTTGAGGTAATGCAGAATCTTTCATTTAACCAATTGATCCATTAAAAACCCCCAGAAGCAACTGTGCTGTACCTTTCTTGAGAATAGTGTCACTTATTTATGTGCATCCAATATTAATCATTAACTGGTATCCTGTCAAAAGCGAGGGGAAGAGGACGATACATAGCGCTTAATCTTTTCATCAAACTTCAGCAAACCTCACATTTTAAAAGTGAGTAAAAGATTTTAAAAAGGCCAAGTTCTAGAACGCAAATTCAGTTCCCATGGGTCTTAATCTTTGTCTTTTATAATTCTTTCACATATGGTCAGTCCGCATGTAGTGAAGGATCACTTACATATTAAGCTAAACATGTTTAATAATTTTTCACCAAATGAAGCCATATTAGTGTTTTATACCTCAATAAAGGAAAAAAAAAAATTAGACATAGATTATGTAAACTGCTATGCCAAAATGTCAATCAAATTTTAATTCAAGGTAGATAATCAAATCCAGAGCAAAAAAAAAGTAGCATCACAAAAAAAAGGGCGAATTTGAGAATCATCAATAAAGAAGAAACATAATTTACAAGAGGCACTGTTTTGTAAGTGAGATTTATCTAAACCATACTAACTTTTTATTGTGCACGTACGTCACTGTTCATCATTAAAAGGTAATAATTTGCAAAGTTATGCCGTTTTTATGCAACGAGCTGATTATCAAAATCGTTAACACGCAGCCACACCGAAACTACATGATTGAAAACACGATTCTTTGAATTAAAACTATCACTCAGCAAACCAATTGAACAGACTCTCCCCTTGGGGAAAATCATACGTAAATGTATGGAAAACTAGTTATACTTTGTATATGAATATGTTCCCAATAAACCCTGTAGCCATTTCAGTATAACTTTCAGCCGTCATTAAAAATGTAGTTTTCAAAATATTCCTTTCACTCAAATGTGACTTCAGGTTAAAATGATGTCCTTGTTATCCTTTTGTTCAAGTAAAAAAAAAAAAAAAAAATAAGCGTCAGACTAACTTGCATAAAAATGCTTTAGTGAGAAATCAGAACAACTTAACATGAAATATTTACTCGAGCCGCTATAAACCTAAAATACCCCCAAAAATGTAATACAAATTATTACAACCCCTTCCCCCACCATTAAAATACATTGTGTTGAATCAAACTGAAAGATTTGTTCAGACAGTTTAAATACCCAAACTTTCGACAAACATAACCAAAACGTTATACCCAAGGAGCTAAAAAGGACACCCAAAAACTCTTTAACTGAATCACCGCATCTTTTTCAAGTAATGCCCGACTTCTACAAATGTAACAAAATCATTCAACTGACAGTCAACAGGTTTCTGTTCTTCCATTAATTGACAGGGAAAACTAAAAACTGTAGCTTTTCATCTTTACTGAAATATGTAACTCTTTTCCCACTATCATTTTTTATCTGCTCAAATTTTATTTAGACACGAAGGCAAGACAGCTATCTGGCACAGTTAAATTAGCCTCTACATCTCTTCTCCATGAATTGAATCTATACATCCACTTTGTCCTGACAAAGTCGTGCTGCTGGTAACAATGATGAACTATCCACCACCACATGAACCCACAGGTGTTAACTATTCTTAACTAGATATTTTTACATTATTGCAAAATGCTCCTGATCAGGTGAACATCATAATGGCTCACACGCAAGCTTCACGACAGCTTCTTTTACTCATCAATACAGGGCAGCATTATTGCTACGACCAGGACAAGGGTTAAAAGTCCCAATTTCACCTTAGGCCTATAAAGCAGGTGATGTTGACTTTGCAAATACTACAGAGTTAAGTTAATTAGTTTGCACCGTTTAGAACCGATTTCAAAAGGTAGATTCGAGGGGATTCACAATAAATAAGATTTAACTTTACTACTAACAACATGATAGAACTAAGGCCATTGACTCATTTGGGCCTGGCTACTCACATGGTTATTCGTCGTGGTATAGTCTGGTGCCCATGGAGGTTTTGCAACTGTCAGTGTTGTTTGGTGCATCCGCCTGTCCCCTCTCCTGGGGCGGGCAGGGGCAGAGGGTGAACGAGGCTGCCCATAATAAGCTCTGTGACTGTAGGGTTCATGAATCACCGGGTAATGACAACCTTCTTCTGTCAATAGCGTTCTTGCTGTCTTCCCTTGTCCGAAATTGATTCGATGATCGAATATCGGTTTCGGTACTATCACATCTGAACTTGTTTGATTCTCAGCCATTGTCCTCCTAGATCTAGATTCTAGATCTACCTATTTTACTAACAACAATATACTGTTCAAAACAAAAGAACGCATATGGGACCGTCCATAACTATAAACAAAGATTTACATTTAAGTGTAGAAAAAAAGGAAGACGACACAAAACGTTCAACTCAACAAAGTCATCACACTCTTCAAGTATAATAAAACACTGATAGAACTAAGCTATTCTTACAAATCGTGCCCTAAACTCGTGTGTAAAGTATTTCGAACAACCCATAAAGATGCTCCTATGCGTCCGCAAAGAAAAAGATGTGACAATATTCAAGACTTATAAAAAGTACTGGTGCTCAAAAATGCTCAATCTAAAGACTCAGAAACTGAGGACATTTACTGATCCTTTATTTCTAAAAGATTAATTGTAGTCTCACACAACCTTACTGGTAACAAGTAAGTTTCGGTTGCTAGCAACAACACCGTTAGACTGAGTGGCGCACTAATCTCATTGTTATTGAGGTGTTTATAAAAGTTGGATCGACGACTACGTAGGGAAACAAATACCTATGGATTTTTAAATCGCGCTCTCCTTTCGCGTCGACTCTACACTTCCTCGGGTGACATCCCCCCCCC